TCAATTGTTCAATTTAAAGGTTGTTATTTCTTATTTAAATAAGCAACATCTGAATTTATATATACCAATCAAAATTGTTTGATTATAAATTGGTTCTACTCAAAAGGTTCCAATCATAATCTTCTCCACATCTCAATAAAATAGAATGGCTTAAACAAGTTGAAATACAAAAAATAATTGGATAAAAAGAATTAAATAATTCAAAAGTGTGTCTCATTCGCTACAATTAATATAAGTTTTACTTATCAACTGAATTTGAGTAACTGTTTCAGTAAAAATAATTCTTCCTAATTTTTATGGACTTAATATGAGAAAACATAGAACGACACAAACAAAAATAAACGGAATGATTACTATAGAAGAAATGTTCTCTCTGTTTGCATACAACAAAAGAAAAGATCTTTAATTCATTGTAATTGTCAATTAAATCTAATTAATATTTCATTTAAAACGATTACTTTATATTGTGGTTGAAGTTGAATTTGTTTATTTAATACTTCTGAGCTTCACAAGATGTTATACATTGATAATTATGTTCTCATAAATCTGCTATATTTACCATAGAAAAAAGGTAAAGATATATTCTTTGTCGTGTTCTAAAGCAATTAATCAATAGATATCGTTATTTGCTCTATTTATAACATAACAAACGCTTCGTAAGAGATCTCTATCATTTTTCGTTGTCTAATAATTCCATCTTTTTTTATAGAAATTCATTTTATTGCCAAAGAAAGCAACTGAAGTTAACAAAAGTAACGATAACATAAGTTTAGTCTCTGACATTATTCTTTGTTTTTTTATTTTTATGTCCGTTTTTTAATTAACAACATAAAATATTACCAGTAACATTAATTGGCCTTTCGTAAGAATTTTACCTAATTGATTCAAGAAAAAGCGAACGATGTATCCTATTCTTGAATCAAAAATCCATCGAACTTCACAACAGAGCAAATAAGTAGTGAATTTTTAATTGAAAGTGAAACTAACTTTCAGGCGTGTATCTTTTTTTCAATCGTATACAGAGTAACTCAAAATAATTGTACTTGAATAGCTTTAGTTTTTAAACTATATAACAAACCATCATTAATTATATTTTATAGTTAATAAATGAACTGTATAACACTTTTTGGAATAATTATTATTGTTTCTAAAAATAGAATATACTATTGAAAGATAAAAATACTATTTATAGCTTTTTAATTTAATTTAGAAGTATAGTTGTTATTAATATATTAATTATAACTGTATGGTATTGTTTTATCTGTTCCGGCGCTTTCCATTTTTATTCTTTTTCAAACAGTTTGTAATAAAATTCTTACTATACTTAATCTATAAAAAAATCAATGATTTACTACAATTTTCTCGGAATTTTTCTTTTCCTTTTTTATAAATAAGAAGAATCTATTTAAGTCAACGAGATTTAAAACAGCAAAGTTGGTTGCAAAAAGTCGGGTATTTGTCTCAATAAAAAAGTACCAAATAATGTGGTTTAGCGAACCATCTCAATTAGTTTGCAAAGTTCCAAATAAAATACTTCCGTTGGAATTTCGAGCAATTCAAATCAATGAAAAACACTTTTGGAACATCTTTTTGGGATATTATTTACAACAAGATAATACAATCAATGTATGCGACTGAATCCATTTAAAAAGTGGGGAAATCATTTCAATTACTTTCAATATGCGAATACACGCCAAAAGTGATGAAAACAAAACAAGCTAAAAGATGGTGTGAAACATCCCGATCAATTGCTCTTTGGCATTGTGTTATAATCCAGATCCTGAATAAGAGCAGTTTAACAATTAGCTAACATGGACTCAATGCACAATATCTTCCACACTCTTCTCTCCCTACTCCTCAAAAATTACGAAACCACCAGAGGGATCACTACTGTTTTCACGCCTAAAAGCCCATTTTTTTGCTCCAAAAAGATGGAATAAAGTGGGTTGAAGCATCGAGAAAAAACTGGTATTTTTTCTTGTCAAACAATTTCTTCCATTCGCCAAAGCGTGAAACAAATTTCGCTCAAAAGTCGTAGCCACTTGCCATCTTTGCGGCAACAAATTGTGATTTCCCTAAAGAGAAACTGCAACTGAAAGAACCGTTTGGAAGCTTTCTAGAAAAAAATTGGGTTATAAGGGTTCACTGAAATCTATAGATTTAATGTCCGAACTGTCTTGCACTCCACGCACTTGCAACTGTGTCTTCTGCAGAATGAAAGAGACACTCTTACAGAACAAATACATTCCATGGATCACACTCGCACGACTCGTCTTCTTATCTTTGAGTTCGTTGAACACCAACAAGCGGTACTTCTCTGTCAAAACAGACATCCCCGAGTATATCCACTCCCACTGGGATTTATTTAAACGGCTCAATCAATTCAACTCATCTACACGTTGGAAGAAGAGCATTTTGGACGCAATCAACCATTCGCGCTTCTTCGAGTCTGGAAAGATCGAATTACACTCCCCCGGCTTTTGGAAGTTGAAAGACAACACAATTCCTTTGTTGGACTCTTCAGAGTACTCGGACCAAGGTGAACACGTCGCAAAGACCAACTCTCCATCTGTCGATTCCTTTTACTCCCAAAACGTGTTAAAGCCAGAGTGTATCGAGTGCAACAGTTTGGAAGATTACTATACCAGCTCGGTGACTTCAGCAAAACAAAACATTCACTCTTTACTGTCTCTCTATACTATTTCTGACGAAACAAGAAGAAAGATGATCAAAGAGGAGATCAGTGAAAGCGAGAAAAGCATTCTGCGGGCCTCACAACACTTATACAAAATCTCACTCGAAGATAACTCAGACAATTACAACGCCTCCGCTTGCTTGCTCATCAGGACTGTTTTCTAAGAAGTCCATTTTACAAAGCCGATTAAATAGCCTCTTTATGAATTTAGTTTATTATCTTATAGTGTTTATTCATGCGTCTTTCTTCATATTTCAAAAACTAATTTTTGTTCACTCTCACCCCTTTATTTGGTCTTAAAAAGGCTCGAGAGTGAACAATTCATAAATTATAACATCCACCTGTTCTGTGAATAAAAAAACACGACAAGAAGAAGAAAGAGTGGGTTACTTTCTTGTATAAATGAAGATAAAATCAACGCATTAGAGAATAAATAAGTATTATCTAATGTGTCTCTATTACAACGGTTTTAGTCTCGCCCTTGAATTGTTTCTGAAGTGCTTCAAGCTGCGTTTGCAACTCAATGTTTCTCTTTAAAGACTCTTCCACGACTTTTTTCATCATATTAAGTTCATCCGACTCGGACTTCCACCACGACGAAAACCATCCCCCATCACTCTGCTTCACTGTCTTACTCTGTTCGACATCTTTTAAGACCGCAATTTCTTTCCATTTACTCGCTTCGTCTTGTGACTCTTTCAATTTCGTCCGGAGGTCTGCTAAGAGGGAATTGAACTCTTTCTTCTCCATACTCATCTGATCAACTTCGATTCTAAGTCGTCGCGTTTCCTCGTCTGAAGCTCTCCCAAATTTCAATTCGAATAATTTTGATTTCGTCTGGCTGAGCATCGCATCTTCCAGCGAAGTATTTGAAGCGATCGGAAGTTCAATGTCCTCCGTCTTGATATCAATTTTCTCGACTTTGTCATTCACGCTGTTCCCTTTTGTCTTTTCGATCTCCCTCTGAATCGTCTCTTCGACTTTCTTGTCGAAGACGATCATAGGTGATGGCGATGAATGCAGTTGTTCCACAAGTTTCCTTTTCTCCATTTTGAGTTCGTCGTTCTCCTTTTTCGCGCGTTCAAGTTTCTCCTTTTTGCTATTCATCTCCTTCATCATCTCCTTTCTCTCCATTTCAAGAGTCTCTTTCTCCTTTTTGATCTTCTTGTTCTCCCCAGAGATGTTCACAAATTTGGTCATTAATTCGCGATACTTCTCTTGATCCTCTTGTGCACTATTTTCGCGTTGACTCATCACTTTCTGTAACTCGTCGATCTTTGTCTGACACTCTCGTTGTATTTCGAAAACACTGACACTCTCCTCACTCTTCTGCTCTTTCTGTGTTTTATTGTCATGTGCGATGGTCTCCAATTTCTCGTCTTTCATTTGCACGTCACTTTTCAAAGAGACGATGTCGTGTTCGTACGCTCGGATCTTTTCTTTTAAGTTATAAATGGTTTCTCCGTTGTTTGCCTTCTCCTCTTCGAGGTCTTTCTCCAACCTCTCCGCCTTTCTCTCCAATGAATTTAATTTCTTTGATTGCTTTGAAATGGTATCTTCTAACTCGGAAGTCTTATTGCGATAGTCAGTCATCTTCTCTTGATACGTTTTGTTCAATTCATTCACATACTGTAACTCATTCTGCTTCATCTCTACTTGTATCTTCATCACTTCCTTCTCCGAAAGGATCTTTTGAAGCTCTTTCTCTATCTCATCCTTCTTACTCTGAAACTCCGTCGACTGTTTAGTCGCTTCCTCCGTCTTCTCTTTAAACGTCTGCGACGCTTTAACGGCGTCATCCTTTGTCTTCTCAGCAAGTGAAATGCTGCGCTCTAACTCGACGTTGCGTTGTTTGGCCTTTCGGAGTTCTTCTTCCATGTACGCTGCCTTCCGAAAGACACTCACGTTCGCCTCTTTCATCTT